TGAACCTGTACTCACGCAGAGCACCAGGGTTCTCTCTCACAGATGCAGGAGTACAGAACTTCTTCATTAATGAGGTTTTTACATGAGGGTGCAACTGCTCACAAGTCAGTGTTGTGATAATGCCCTTTCTTGGAGACAGATTTGCAAAAAATGCAAATCAATGAATTAAAACTCTTTAAAACGCTTTATGCAGTTTAAACATCCACTATTAAAAATTATGCGATGAAATACATAGTATATAGCAAAGTGAAAAAAGAACCAGCAGATGGTGGAATGATTGATTACATTGCTAGCCTCCCACATAGTCAACTGCAGTTCAAGTCCCAGATCCGGCAGCTTAAAACTCATGCCAGGGGTGTGTGCATGTGTGCATGCATACCCAAAATCCCAAGAGGAGGATAGAGAAGGGATTGCAGCATGGCCATCCCCTCCAGGGGTGATTTTTCACTTTCTGTGTCTGTTTCTCCAGTGCACGCACACACCCTTATAGCAAAAGTTTCTAAAAAAAATTAATACTAACAGGTTTAAATGAGGAGGAGGACAAACTAAAAATGGGAAAAAAATTGTCAGAATTCAGCTTTGCGTCCTCTTTATCTAGCCTTGTTGTCAATGCGAATGGTTGTTTTGGGGATTTTAGCTTTCACGATTTTAACATTTAGAATTTTCATCTTTTGGGGCTGTGATTTGGGGGATTGTAGATGCTGGGGATTTTGATCTTTCGAGGTTTTGACATTTCAGCTTACGTTTTGGGAAGTGTGACCTGCACCACATTTTGAGACTCATCATTCATTTGTATAGTTGAGGTGGATATTCAGATTCTCCTACAATGTGTTTCTAAACAAGTATTTGAGTGCCTGTTATCTTTACGTGTAAGTACTGTCTCCACCTTGAGAATATTAGGAAGCGCTGTGTGTAGTTTCTGATGTAAACATTTCTTCTGTCTTACCTTTGTGATTTCTCACAGTATGGGGAAAAACTTTGATGATCACATGACTTCATTGTCACTTTTAGCAAAATATACATATTTCAAATCAGAAATATTTGGTTGTAATTAAGTGCTTTTGATTATTAAAATTTAAGAACATGGTTATTTTACTTACTTTTCATCTTAGCATACGTAATTAGCAGGCGACCATGTGGTCCAGTTCGCTGTGTGAGGGTGGCTGCCTCCTTCTTTCAGACCTGGGGCGCATGTACAACCTTGTATCCAGAATCCAGGATGGCCTAGGAGAGCTGAAAAAACTGCTGGAGACTCACATCCACAATCAGGGTCTTGCAGCAATCGAAAAGTGTGGAGAAGCTGCTTTAAATGTAAGTACTGCGCAACCGGAACCAGCTGGGCCCGACTGTCCCTCTGGACCGCAGGCGTGCAGTGTGCATCTATAAGTGGGGCATCTCCTGGCGAGCTTTCGCCAAGACTCTTAGAACCTCATTTTGGCTCGTAGAAGTAGAAAGTTCATGAACCAGCAGTTAGCGTAATGGCTATGTCTCTGGACTCCCACGTAGTCGACCGCGGTCCGCGTCTCGGACCTGGTGGCTTAAATCTCACGCCAGGCGTGTGTGCGTGCGTGCTCAAGATCCCGAGAAGAGATTGGAGGAGAAGGGATTGCGGCATGACCATCCCCCCGGGGGGTGATTTCTCGCTTTCTGTCTCTATGTCTCTCTCTGTCTGGCGAGCGCACGCGCCCTATAGCTACAACCTTGTATCCAGAATCCAGGATGGCCTAGGAGAGCTGAAAAAACTGCTGGAGACTCACATCCACAATCAGGGTCTTGCAGCAATCGAAAAGTGTGGAGAAGCTGCTTTAAATGTAAGTACTGCGCAACCGGAACCAGCTGGGCCCGACTGTCCCTCTGGACCGCAGGCGTGCAGTGTGCATCTATAAGTGGGGCATCTCCTGGCGAGCTTTCGCCAAGACTCTTAGAACCTCATTTTGGCTCGTAGAAGTAGAAAGTTCATGAACCAGCAGTTAGCGTAATGGCTATGTCTCTGGACTCCCACGTAGTCGACCGCGGTCCGCGTCTCGGACCTGGTGGCTTAAATCTCACGCCAGGCGTGTGTGCGTGCGTGCTCAAGATCCCGAGAAGAGATTGGAGGAGAAGGGATTGCGGCATGACCATCCCCCCGGGGGGTGATTTCTCGCTTTCTGTCTCTATGTCTCTCTCTGTCTGGCGAGCGCACGCGCCCTATAGCAAAAACCTCTCCAAAAAAAAAAGAAAGTTCATGAACATCGTTTAGTAAATAACACCATAAACTATTCTTTAGCACGTTTTAGGCATTAAGAATGTCACGCCTTTTTTTGTATTTTTTTTTTTTAATCTTCTCGCTGCTAACATTCTTTGTGCTAGAAGAGAGAAGATGTTTCCGTAGGCCTCCCAGGACCTTGGCTCTGCCTACGTAGTTCACAGGTCATTCCTTTCAGGAGCCAGGGTCCTAGTAGGGCCCTCCAGCTGAAGATCACAGACAACTTTGCTCTGGAGACACCCTGACATTTAGAGTGTCTCTCCTCCACTCTCCCCTCCGCCCAGGGCTGCAGAGACTATTCCTGCCAGACTCTCCGTAATTCAGGTGATAATTTTACGAGGGGAGAGTTTCTGACACAGGCCAGTTGTCTTTAGTTTTCTTTGTGAACTTTAAGAGGATTGGGAGAACTAACAGAGAAGAGAATCTCCTAAACATAGTTGGTCCTTCTGTGTAAGTTCAAAAACTCTGATTTTATCATGCTTGGTGTTAATTACCTTTGGCAGTACTGTCTTCGTGATGTTCTGTTTACATCCGTATTTCCCTGTTATCTTTGGGAGGTTCCTTCTCCACACTTACTTACGGGGACCACTACCCTACCCTCGGCCACATTTGTGCATTCTTAGATGAATGTGAAGCCTGCCTTTAGGGTTATGAAACAGTTTCACACTTTCAGGTGGGAGAGAACTGATTTAGTAGTGGGATTTGTGAAAAAGGTCTCCAGGTTTTCATGTAAGCCTCAGCACGAAGTCTCGGTGCTGGGACATACGGGCTCGGTGACTGTTCACAGCCCTTGGCCTGTCTCTCTGGGCGCACATCCCAGCTCCACCGTTTGCAGCCACGTGACCTTCAGCAGTAGCCTCCCCCATGGTAGAGCCTGCCTTGGAAGATTTTCGTGAGTAAATAGTGCGTGAAAAGTGCTTAAGTTAGGGCACAGAAGTGATTGGGGATGGGAACCAGCAGTTAGCATAATGGCTATGTTGCTGGACTCCCACGTAGTCGACCGCGGTTCGCGTCCTGGACCCGGTAGCTTAAAACTCACGCCGGGCGCATGTGCGTGCGTGCCCAAGATCCCGAGAGGAGAATGGAGGAGAAGGGATTGCGGCATGACCATCCCCCCGGGGGTGATTTCTTGCTTTCTGTCTCTATGTCTCTCTCTGTCTGGCGAGCGCACATGCCCTATAGCAAAAACCTCTCAAAAAAAAAAAAAAGTGATTGGGGGTGATGGCTGCTCTTCTTAGGAGCATATACTTATTTTTTTTAGTTTAAAAAACACATCTAGAAGTTATCCTTACAAAACCAGTGGGTGATGTGGTATTAGGAGGCTGGATCCCCCATGGCCTACTGTGCACTTTGAGTCCCAACCCAACAGCTTGAGAAACATGGCAGGCGTGTGTGCATGTGTGCCGAAAATCCAGAAAGGAGAAACGGAAGAGAGGGGATTATGGCCATCCCCTAAGGGGGATGCTTGACCACTTCTCTCTCTGGTGAGCACATGTGCCCTAGCAATGCAGTTATCTTTACATATTGATGGCTTTAAATGCCAAACTAGAGATTTCTTTTTAAAAGGACTGATAGACCCATGCACATGCATGCACACATAGTACTTGTGATTCAAGAGGGGCCGACTTGAAGCTGTCTGCTCAGTAATGACAGGTGTTTTCAGTTGTTAACTCAGAACTCGGTTTAGCTACGTGGACAGCAGTGCCAGGTAAGCCACATGACTCCTCGAAATGAGTTCAGCGGGGAGTCTGTTGCTTCATTAGCTAGGGATTAGAGTAGTGGGTTAATGTAGCAGTTTTTGCTTTTTCCAGTAAACGGTTAGATTTTAGATATGAGATTGGCCTTGGGAGACTCAGGTTTGTTCTATGTGAATATAGATTAAAATAAACATTATAGAGGCTGCAGGTGGCATGGTGTTTAAGGGCGCTGAATTCCCATATGGCCGACAGTGGTTCAAGTTCCGACCTGGTGGCTTGCTTTCTCACTTCCCTCTCTCTTCCTCCCTTCCCTCTGGTCAAATTAAAAATAAATAAAAGAAGGACCAGCAGTTAGTATAATGGCTATGTTGCTGGACTCCTGTGTAGTCGACTGCGGTTCAGGTCCCGGACCCGGAGGCTTAAATTCATACTGGGCGCATGTGCATGTGTGCCCAAGATCCCGAGAGGAGAATGGAGGAGAAGGGATTGCGGGTTGCCCCATGGGGGACCTTGGGGATGATTTCTTCCTTTCTTTCTTTGTCTCTCTCTCTGTGTCTTTCTGATGAGTGCACGCACCCTATAGCAAAAACTTCTCCAAAATGAATGAAACATTATAAATTGCATTTTCATAGAATGATGGGATATTACTTCTAATGTCCATCTTTTTCAAATCCAAACAACACTCTAAATTGGAGAAATAACCAGTGATTATTCTCAAGTTTTACTGTCTTATCTATCTTTGGGATACAACCAGTTGCCTGATATTTTGGTCACTGAATAAATGCTGCCCAGAGGACCTTGTTGGTGAATCTTGGGTGTGAGGTTTACTTTTTTCCTGGACAGTTAAAGCAAGAAGTACAGCTTCTGTGTGAAATCATTGCTTTATTTGGGAAACTTCATCTATCAGCAGTAGACTGCACAAATACTCTATCTTTACCAGCAGTTGTATTTGACTAGAAATTAAGTTTTATTGGTTTATTCAGAATTGATGTACTTTTTCGGGTGTAAGTCTCAGGGGCGGGGCAGGGGAGAGAGGCCGCCGTGGGTGTGGTCCTACTGCGGTCCTTGCTCCTCCCTCTCTCCACTCTTCCAGGACACGGGCACACGCGCTCTGCGATTTTCAGGCTGCCTGGGCCAGGACTCAAACTGTGGTTGGCCCTGTGGGATCCAGCTCCCTTAACCACTAGGATATGGGGCTGACCATATGCATTTGTTTCTTCTGTGAGAGAGAGAGATTTGATGTCAGGAGTTCCGCATTGAAATGTTTGCTCTGTCCTCTCAGCGGGTCGGGTCTCCATGGTCTCACCCCCCTGATGCGGTGACCGTTGTGGATCCTCCCACTGAGTCTGGCACAGAGTGCAGCCATGCAGCTGTGCCATCCACCCCGAGCCTGTGCGCAGGGGCGGCCGTGTAACCTGTGCCATCCACGCGCCGCTCCCCCTTCCCCCCGAGCCTGTACAGACCGTGTAATCTGTGCCACCCGCCCCAAGCCTGTGTGCAGGGGCGGCCATATAACCTGTGCCACCCAACCCAAGCCTGTGCACATGGGCAGCTTCAGTGATCCCGTAGAAGAGAAGTTCCTGCTGGGCCTGGCCTCAGAGCCCTCTCACACGGGCCAGCAGCCTGCCAGTCGCCCCATTTCATAGCAAGCCATCTTCTGTGTCCCCTCGGATGTGACGTGGAGCCTGGCATGCCCTCTCCTCGGTGCTTCCTCTCTCTCCGGGCATTTTCCCTCCTGTCCCAGACTCTTGTACTAGTAATGACCCAGCACCTCACCTCACCGAAGGTTCCTGACTCTCCCAAACCTTTTAGCTTTCCTAAACACTGGTCATTTAATCTTTCAGAAATACCACTTCCTACATTAACAGCTTTATTTCTCATTCTTTGTCTTTTGTTTTCCTTATGAGACCACTCCCCTGACCTGACAGTTAGGGAGCCAAATCCTACATGGCCGACCACGGAGTTAGAGCCCTGGCCTGGCAGCCTGAAAAGTACGCCAGGTGTCATGTGAATGCGTGTCCCAAATCCCAACCGGTTGGAGAAATGGAGGAGAGATCATTGTATTACTGAATGTTTTATTTTTTAATTGCTAAAGCCAGCGAGCCAGTAGATGGTGTAGTGGTTATGTTGCTGACTCCCACATTGCCAACAATGGTTCGAGTCTCAGACCCAGTGTCTTGAAAATCACACCAGGTGTATGTGCATGCGTGCCCAAGATTCCAGGAAGAGAATAGAGGAGAAGGGATTGTGGCACGGCCATCCCTCCTGGAGGTGATTTTTCACTTTCCCTCTCACTGTCTTTCTCTCTCTTTCTCTCTCTCTCTCTCTCTCACCAGTGAGCCCACATGCCCTATAGCAAAAATCTCTAAATTTTTTTTTTTACTAAGCCAGTATCAGGTTAAATGTTTCCATAGGTCACTGTCAAAGTGGATAGTCCTCATGCATGCGCTTGCCAGAGAAACAAAGAGACAGAAAGCGAGAAATCACCCCCCAGGGGGATGGTCACACCACAGTCCCTTCTCTTCCATTCTCCCTTAGGATCTTGGGCACACAGGCACACGCATCCAGCGTGAGTTGGCACACAGGCACACGCACCCAGCGTGAGTTTCAAGACAGGTCTGGGATTCAAACCGTGGTTGACTACTTGGGAGTCCAGCGATGTAACCATTACACCACCTGCTGGTCCCCACCTGTTTTTCGATGTAGTTGATGGCTTGTGATTTTTTTTTTTTATTTCTTGAAACTTTTGCTTCTGTCTACATTTTATGGAAATAGTGTTATCTTAAACACTGAATGCGTAAGCTTATGGAGAGAATTACACTGCTCCAAATAATTGTATCACGTGTTTTTGTTACTTAATGAACAACAAATTTTTTCTCAAAGAAAAATTCCTTAGAGGTGAGCACTGTAGACAGTTTAGTAGCAAGGCCTTCTGTGTTCTGTGGCTGTCCTATTTTTTGATTTTTGTTTATTTTCTTCTTCTTTATTGCTAGGGAGCATGTGTGCTCACCAGAGAGAAAGAGAGACAGACAGGGAGAAAGCATCCCCTGAGGGGGCATAATCACGCCTCACTCCCTCCATTTCATCGTCCCATTGGGGTTTGGCGCATGCACATGAGCCGGCGGTTTATTTGCTTGCTCTGTAGAGTTTTTTGCTAAAGGATGTGTGTACTCACTGGAGACACAGAGACAGAAAGTGAGAAATCACTCTCCGGGGGGGATGGCCATGTCACAACCCCACTTCCATGCTCTTCTCAGGACTTTGGGCACACATGCACACACGTCCAGTGTGAGTTTTAAGCCACCAGGTCCAGGACTCAAACCATGGTCCAACTATGTGGGAGTCCAGTGATGTAACCTTTACTCCACCTGCTGGTCCTGGGCTGGCACCAGAACCACAGTCTTCGGTGTGGGGTCTAGCTCCTTTACACAGCAGGCTGTGGGTTAGTGCCGGGTGACCTCCTGGTGGTGTTGGCTGCTTGTGCCTCAGAGAACGCGAGAGCTCTGGCCGCTGGGCCGCTCCCTTTAGCCCTGGCAGGAGGAGGCAGGTGCTATGTGTACCCTCGGAGGAGCTCTGGGTAGAGCTGGTCCCAGGGGCTGCTCAGGCTTCTGGTCGTGACGTGGGGACATGCTCCTTTGACGACAGCGGCACCCCACGTCTATCTTTTGACGAGTTCTTGGGTGGGGCTGGGTCGTCAGGAAGTGTCGGCGTGTTACAGCATCACTTAGAGACGCAGCCGGTCCTCGTCCCCCCCCCCGCCGTTGACTAGCTCTCCGGGAGACGGTACCCTCCACCCTCTGTGTGCCATAGCTGCTTTGCCTTTTTAAGATAGAATAAGAAACAGAGGTTGGTGTGAGACTGTTAGATTACATCTCTCTTTGTAAAGCTGGACTGTGGAATTAGCCTTTCAGTGGAGACGTGAAGAGTCAAAGGAGTGATTTCCTCCTGATCATCGTTATGTTCCTGACTTCGTCATTTGGGAGGTGTTTGGTGAACGTCGCTTCTTTAGGATCTGGAAGTACAGCAGTGGTAGCAAGGGGCACCCAGGCAGGCTTCCTGGAGCCTTCGCCCGTGGGATGTGGACAGAGGATAACGGGGCTGTCCTGTTTTGAGGTTCAGAGAAGGCATCTGTGAAAAGGCGTTTGAGAGGAGAGTTGAAGCTGGCAAGGCAAAGGGGGTCCCTGGACATCCAGGCGCCTCAGTGACGTGAACACAGCCCACCTGAACTGAGCAGTCTGGCCCGACCCGACCAGATCAGGGGAGACCTGGGAACCCGGTGATCGGTGCCTCGTCCTAAGGACAAGAGAAAGCTGGGTAAGGGAGTTACAGTAGCATGGAATGGACAGGGTCAGGTTTTTGTTTCTAAGAACACGCTTTCCGCCACGTGGGACTGGATTACAGGGAAGACGAGTTGTCGCGAGCACGCCCGTCAGGTGCGAGGTGGTGGCCATGGTCTGGTGGGGTGGAGTGAGAGCGGGCATTGTGGTAACGTGTTGTGCTCGGGCTACTTACTGGAGCCGCGATGCGTACGTGGGATGGAGGGGACAGTTTTCTGTCCTTTAGCATTTTGAATGTGTCCGAACTGTTTTACAGTAAGATGTTAAAGAAGTGGACAGGTCGTGTTAATGGAGTGGATGCTGGGCAGGAGGGGGTGCCCTGGCTCCCAGGTGCCCCAGCCCAGCTGCTGCAGGGTAGGGGGTGGTTCCATGGGACACCCAGGGAAGTTCAGTGTAGGGACTTAAATGTGACAGTCATAACAGCGACTGAGGTGAGGGGGAGTTGAGAGGTGTGGTGTTTCTTATATGCAAAAAGCTCTCGTGCCTGTTAAACAACAGATGGTCATGAATCAAGCCAGTTACTACTTTGTTCATTTTTTAAAAAACCTCAAAAATCCGGTCCTGATTTTCTGAAAAAGTTAACACATGTGGTCCAATCCATCTTTCGTCTCTCCTGACCTCTACTGCTTCTATAATCTGGCTCTGCCTACTTGGAGTCTGGTGCCCTGGGGACCACCTCGTAGAGGCCTGCGTTTCCGCCGATGGCTGCCTGCCTTCTGAACTTTCTGCTCGCTTTCAAACACCTTTTCTCCATTAGACGCCGCTGACTGCTTAGACTCTCCTGTCTTCCCAGTGACTTCTTTTCTCTGTCTGCCCCTGGCCAGGCTCCTAAGTGGCTTTTCTCTGGACTTCAAATGCTAAACTTAGTTTTCTTAGGCCACCGTTCTGACACATCCCTCCCGTAGTGGGTCCTTCAAACCCTCATCTCAGCCTCCAGGCTCCTTTCTGGGTCTTCCACAGTGAGGAGTCTTGGGATTGGAGTCTGGAGACACCCTTGGTCTTGGGGGAAGATTTGTCTTTCTAAGTGGCTGTTTCTTTCTAAGTGGCTATTTTTCCAAATCCTGAATCTAAGAAAATTTGGTCAAAGAAATCCAGAAAAGAGAGAAAAGTGTTATACTCAGAGAGAGGCAACAGAGAGGCATTCGGTTCAGAAGAACCCACAGTGACGAGCCAGAGCAAGAGCAGGAGGCGCTGACGATGGGGTCACGGTTAGGGTGGGTGTTTCTGGGAAGCAGGGCAGAGTGTGGCTGGGGCTCGCGGCCGGCGAGAGGGCCTCCCATTAACACGCCTGTGTTAATGTGGGCTTGTGGGTCCTCTGCTGCTGTGGGCCAGTCCTTGCAAGTAAAATAGGTGATAGCGTGTCAACGTACGTAATGTACTTCATGTAAATCCTGCACAAGGCGTTCCAGAAAATAGCAAGTTTAGAAGTATCGTAGTCCTTCGGTTTGCGGTTCCTGTAATGCTGTTAACCTGGCTAAGCAATCTTGCCGGTGTTCCCAGTTACCTTAATTGAACACTGCCCAGTAGTGTGTGCCGGCATTCCCCGCCGTCGGGTACTAAGTGCCTGCTAACATTCTCCCTACGCGCTGTAACAGAAGCAAGCCAGAGGGAAGGGTATGGGAATGCTGTGGGGTAACCTGACTTCAAATCAGAAAGTAACGTAAACTCTGAATTGGCAGAAGCGTGTTGGTTTCGCTGGCCGTTCCCCGTGGAGCCCACCCAAGTCCTCTAACCTGAGCCTGCCTGGCCAGTTCCGGATGAGTGTTGGTTTCTCCAGCCAAACCAAAGTCCAGAATTGAGTTTTTATTCTTAATGCAGGCCTGAGATCACTATTTAGAGTGTGAAAAATATATTTTCTTTTATACGTAAAACACATGTCCTGTGCGTTTCAATGCAGGAACCAAAGGTATTTCTTGATCTTAATCATCAGCTTCTTTGAAGAAGCTTCTGAACCTTGTAGAATACGTTAGCACATTAACACACAGTGTACTTCTCGGTAACTGCTTTTGTTTCTGGTTTTCCCTTACTTTAAGGACCCCAAAATGTATGTGCAGACGGTGCTGGACGTTCACAAAAAATACAACGCGCTGGTGATGTCGGCCTTCAACAATGATGCCGGCTTCGTGGCTGCGCTAGACAAGGTGGGTGCGTGCTGTCGGAGCCACTCAGTGCCGGCTCGGCGTCCTCACTGACTGTGTGTTGTGTAACGCAGGCTTGCGGGCGCTTCATCAACAACAATGCCGTTACCAAGATGGCGCAGTCATCCAGTAAGTCCCCAGAGCTGCTGGCTCGGTACTGTGACTCCTTGTTGAAGAAAAGGTATGGAGTGACTTTGTACTTTTTCTTAGTAGGCCTGTTTAAAATCTCTGCTTCTGTGCAGCAAATTAAAATTTATGTTACATACATTTTGTATACATTAAATTGTGACTTTGGTACCATTTGAGAAAGTACCCACAATCCATCATCTTCCAGTTGAAAATCTGCCTCAGCTCCCACCAGCTGCTTAAGAGAGGACTGCCCTGTGCTACCAACCTTCATTGTCCTGTGTACTTTTCAGATGTTTTCGTTTGCTTTTATTTATTGCTGTTTCGTCTTCTTTACTTTTTAGTCATCTTGTTTCATAACCTGTGTTTTTCATCGTCAGTTTAAATGCCTTTTTTTTAAAGAAATGTTCATTTAATTTGATTTATTATTATTACTTTCTTTTTAATTTGTCCAAAGAGAGAGAGGGAAAATGAGAAAGCAAACCGCCAGGTCCAGGACTCAAACTGTGTGGTTGACCATGTGGGAGTCCAGCGCCTTCACCACCACCTGCCGATCCCTAGTTTAAGTGTCTTTCAAGAGCTAGAGACAACATAATCTCACTGACTGTCTCCTCTGTGTTGTGCATTTTAAAGTTCTCACTGATTTTTTTGTGTGTTCTGATTTTCCTCAGCTTCTCATTCTCTTGAAGAGTTTCTTCCAGTTCAGAAATGTTTAGGGTTTATTTTACTCTTCCAAATATCACAGGAACTGATGTTAAAGATTTCCTGAAGGGAGACAGTTTCACTTGGGCTCTCCATTGCAGTGGTCTTCAGCACCCCCAGATGACATGCCTTTGATCTTAATAAGTCACATTAAATAGCTTTCTAAAGTCTGCATAGTTCCATTATAAAAAAGCATACCTACAAGTCTCACTTAAGAGAGTTGTAACAGTCTTAAGGAAAACGTTCACAAATCAGATTTATTACTCAACTAAAGAATAAGCCTTCAAAATATAGTAGCTTCTAGGAATGTGAGGTGGCTCACAGCACAAATCGATGTAGTTGTCCTTTACTCACTGAGAATGATGTGAAAACCTGTGTGTGCTTCTTGGCACTTGATGGAAAACATTTGGGTAAGGCCGGTAGCTGTCTCTCTTAACTTTGCCAAAAAGCCATTTGCCCAGTGCCACGAGAAATGGAGTATTTCCTTTTGTTTGTATTTATTACAATTCCAGTCTTGTGTAATTTATCAATTTGGTCAAATTCTCAAATATACTTTTCAGGAATGAAGTAATTGGGATGCCTATTATGACTTGATTTCATTACTTTAGGCTGTGTGATGTGATCAGCGTTAAGTATTAGGTTGTCGGGTGACTTGATTTCATTACTTTAGGCTGTGTGATGTGATCAGTGTTAAATATTAGGTTGTCGGAAAAGTCATGATGCATTTTTGCGTAGAAGAAACATCGTGACTTTTCCGACCCAGTGATTTGACTGTGAAGCTAACACTCTGTGAGGGCTTCAGTTTGTTTCTCTTAGTCCCTTCTGTCCACTGTCTTCATGTATTGCCTTTTTGAAGTCCCTTGATGTTGTCACTGTGGAGCAGACAGAATAACAGGCTTTCCCAGAGTGTCTCTTGAATGAGCAGGGTCAGTGGATGGAGCCTGTGGGCCCCGAGTACGGGGAACTGCTCCAGGCCTGTCCGTGTGAGAGGCAGATCAGGTTTTCTGAGCCACCCGTTCTTAAGCTAGAAACGCTTCTTCAGAGCTTGGTGGTGGTGGTTTGTTTCATCCGAAATATGGCAGTCTTATTTATAAAACACTCCTGTAGAAAATTCTTTTTTTACTCTTTAAATTTTTTATTTATTTTTTTATTTTAATTTTTTTTTTAATTTGACCAGAGAGAGAAAGGGAAAATGAGAAAACAAAGCTGCCAGGTCCAGGACATGAACCGCAGTCAGCCATGTGAGAATCCAGCGCCCCAACCACCACGCTACTTGCCAGCCTAGAAAATTCTCTTACCCTTAAATCACCTTTAAATTGCTGTCTGTTCATGGAATGAATGAATTCATTGTGGGAGGTAGTCATCTGTTGTGAAGACATAACTACAAGTGAGAGACAGCATAGTAACAGTTTAAACTCTCTTACTGTCTGGAATTATTTGGCCATTAAAAGGAGACTGCCTTTTTATTTTTCATAGTTAAGTTATGGCAGACAATAGGAAGCAGTTGGAAAATGAAGCTCATTTACTTATATTAAAAGTATTATCAAAGGAAAACTCCGTTTAGAATATGTTTGGGAACTTCTTATAAATATGCTGATTTTTATTCTGGATATTCTAAATGATTATTTCATGACATGCTCTGTGATGGGGTGATGGTGTCTGGCTGCCGAGTTGGCAGAGTAAGGAAAGGTAGCCTGCCCTCCCTCACGCACTGATCTGAGCAGAGCTGGTCATTGGGATGCCTGGACCACTCTCCGACTTGGTAACCTAGCTGAGTGGTACTTGCTCACATGTTTGCTGATTCTTTTAAAATACAGTGCCTTTTTAACAATTTCAGCTCCAAGAACCCAGAAGAGGCAGAACTAGAAGACACACTCAATCAAGTGGTAAGGTGCTTCATAACTACCCCCCCATCCTAGCTATTTACCCGGCAAGTGTTGGTGAGGGTGCTCATGTAGGACGCCTGAACCGTGAGGAATCAGTCACTTACTGTATTTCAGATCTGTGGGTCTACTCCCGAAGCAAGTCGTTAGTTTTAGCATCTGTACTTTCCTCGTTGGTACTTGGTCCAAGTTGATGTGACTTAAAGGACTGACAACAGTAGTTATCATAAAGCTCCAGGGTGGAGATTTTGCCCTGGTAATGGTGGCAGACAGGCCTGGCCGGCGCCAGGCACACAGCTTGGCTCTCAGCTTGTGGCCGTCACCAGCTTTGCACATCTGGCTTGTGAGTGTGTGTTGAGTGTGTTCTCGCGGTGGCTTTGGCAGATGGTCGTCTTCAAGTACATAGAGGACAAAGACGTGTTTCAGAAGTTCTACGCCAAGATGCTGGCCAAGAGACTCGTCCATCAGAACAGCGCGAGCGACGATGCCGAGGCAAGCATGATCTCCAAGTTAAAGGTGGGTTTTACCTTTTCCTGGGAAATCCCAGCTTCTGGGTTGTTTAAAGTTCTTAGTTTCCAAGCTACCAGGTGACAGTGGCATGTGTAAGGTGCTTGGTCCTGCGTGAGCACGCCGCGCCCTGCTGGAAACCATCGCGGCTGTCATAGGTAGTCCGGGGGGTGCTGGTACTTTTCTAGCCTCTACCCCGACTTGCTGGGCCCTGTCCACTGGCCATGCATCCTATTCTGTCTCCCCACACTTCGGGCCTTGGACCATGCTCACATTTTTGGCTTTGAATTGATTGGATCCTTTGTTTTGTCTGGGTTTGATTAGCTGCCTTCTGCCCCATACCTGCAGGAGGTCAGGAGGCCCGTGCTTTTTCTCTGTGGGGTAGTTCTTCCTCTCTCCCCCTCTGCTCTCCTCCCCATGTGGGTTTCTGTGCTCGCCATTCTGTCGAGTGCATATTTCACCTTGGCCCGAGATTGTACTTCTGTAGGTGTCTTAATCTGCTCTCGCTGCCATAAAAAGTACCACAGACTGGGTGGCTTAAACAGCGTGAACTGATTCTTAGTTCTGGAGGCTAGGAAGTTCAAGATCGTGGTGCTGGCTGATTGGGGTCCTGGTGAGTGCATGCTTCCTCGAAGATAGCCACCTCCCCACTGAGTCCTCGTGTGGCAAGAGGGTGCATGTGGAGATAGTTTTCCTTTTTTAAAGATTTTTGCCATAAGGCACATTTGTTCGCCAGAGAGGAGAGAAGACGGTAAGAGGGCAAGTGAGAAATTACCCGCCAAGGGTTTGGCCATGCCACGATCGATTCTCCATTCTCCTGGGATTTGGGGCATGCACAAACACACACCCAGCATGATTTTCAGGGTGCCAGGTCCAGGATTCAAACTGCGCTTGGCCACGCAGGAGTCCAGCACTTTAACCATCACGTCACCTGCTGACCCCATGTGGAGCTCTTTTATATTTCTTCTTATAAGGACACAATTCCATCCTGAGGGCCCCACCTTCATGACCTCATCTAAACGTAATTATCTTCCAAAGGCCCATCTCAATACTGTCACATTGAAGGTTCAGGGTTCAAGATGGGAATGAGGCAGGGACACATTTTAGTCTATAGTACTGAGATGAGAGGCACAGATAAATCACTTCATCCTTGTATTCTCTCCTGGTGATAGGATAACTTGCTCTTAGATGCTCAAGTAATGGTTACTGTGTGTATGAAATTTTAACTGTTCAGTTTATGCTTGTGTTCTTTTCAATAGTGTACTTTAATCATTGCACGTTTATACCATGAAATGGAGCCAAAGGTTACTAGCTTTACTGGTTTTATACAAAGTATCTATATCATGTACTATGATTTCTCTAAGATTCCCTTATATACATTTATATTTCTGTACAAATTAGTAAGACGGTCATCTGGGTTCATTTCAGCAAGCTTGTGGTTTTGAGTATACCTCTAAACTTCAGCGGATGTTCCAGGACATTGGCGTAAGCAAAGATTTAAACGAACAGTTCAAAAAGCACCTGACAAATTCAGAACCACTAGACTGTGAGTATCATGTGCTTATGAGCTTCCTTTATAAACCCCATTCTTTGTAGCAAATAAGAGGAGTGACAGCAAATTATGTGAGGGTGGTAGGTGCTCTGTCAGAAATTTCAGGGCTAAGAAGCTGGGAGCTCTTCCCAGATGCCCTTTCTCCACCTGACGCCCCTGTGACATGTGACACAGGAGATGATAGCTTTAGGAGAATCGTCCGGCTTGCTGGGGCCAGACTGCTGGGCACGAGCTGGCAGGTGCGTCCAGGCCCCGGGCCTCAGCCTCGTCTGCCTGCTGACTGGATGCTGGCGAGGGGTGCACACTGCGTTTGTTTGGTCTTGTTGCAACCTTCGTTTGGATCCATGGTACTTTTTAAAAATTATAACTTTCTCTGGGGCCAGCAGTTGGCGTAGTGGTTATATTGCTGGACTGCTATGTAGTCGGCTGTGGTTCAAGTCCTGGACCCAGTGGCTTAAACTCACGCCGGGCGTGTGTGCGCACGTGCCCAAGATCCCTGGAGAATGGAGGAGAAGGGATTGCGGCTTGGCCATCCCCCCTGGGGGGTGATTTCTCGCTTTCTATCTCTCTGTCTCTGTCTGTCTTTCTGGCAAGCACACATGCCCTATAGCAAAAACTTATCTAAAAAAAAAAAAAAGTATAACTTTCTCTACCGGAATCAAGCTACAGATTTGGGGGGTTCGGATCTGCATCGGGGGTGGTGAGACGGGTACTGTCATTTCCCCGGGAGTGGGAACGGGCTCCCAGGATGGCCCGGCTCCAGTAGCAGGGGGCAGGCGGGTGCTTGCATCGTCATCCGATCTTTTTTGTCTTCCTAAATGAGGAATGAGGAATTTTATTTTCTCCATATCAAAAGTGCTATTCCTTTGTTAAACTTGACCTTTTAGCCAGTGGATTTTTCAGTTATTTCTGAAAGTGAGGTCAAAGCCGTCATTTCTAGATTACAGCATGCCTTTTCATGTGATGTATACACCATTGTGGAGACAGATGTTTACTTCTGGGTTGTTAGTGTCCTTGAGCTTGGGGCAGTAATGCTGTGTCAGAAATGGGGTGGCCCGAGAGGACTCAAGTGACAGAGAACGAAAGCAAGTGGGACGAAACAGGGCTGTGCTGTGGTACTGGAGGAGACGTAAGATGGGAAGTCACTCCTCGGAGGAAAAGAATTCCTGGCTCCTCGTCCACTTTCACTTCTATTCATTGAGTAAGATGGATGGAAATGGTGCACGTTCAGTTCTTTTATATTCGAGCAGGATTTTTCATTTAATGTTTTCTTTTACTAAAGAGCAATTTACATTTATCTGGAATGATGGAATTTTTCAGTTTACAAGACTAATTAAATGTATTTCCGAATTTCCATCCCCGCCCGGCAGTGGACTTCAGTATTCAAGTCCTGAGCTCCGGATCCTGGCCCTTTCAGCAGTCTTGTACGTTCGCCTTGCCGTCAGAGGTAAAGATGGCGCGATCTTCCACTGCCTCGGTGCTGAGTGGAGACAGGGGCAGCCTGCACAGCGCGTGAGGGGGATCTGCAGAGAGACGGCCAGGTCGCAGTAGACGCGGAGGCCACACTCAGGGTGGTTACCTAGAATGGGGCGGGATTGGATAACCGAAGGTTGGCATCTTTGTCCAAGGAAGACGGAGTGTGCTCATTTACTCCTGCAGAGTCGAACGGGATTAGTTCTGTAATGAATGTCTTCATGATACCGGTGGCCTTGGAGTAGAAACCTTTTTTTTTTTTTTCCCCCATTGGACCTTCCAGTGCTTAAAGGGCTTAGAGAGTTAGAGACCTGGTTATTTGTGTTATGTCTTATGTAAGCACTGGTTTTACGCCGTGGGGTCAGCACAGTGTGCTTTCTTTAGAAATGCTGACTAGGATTTGGTGAACTGTGTATTCCACATAATGCTGTCTCTGTATTCAGTTGGAACGAAGCTATCAACGATTCACGGCCTTCTACGCGAGCCGGCCCTCCGGGGGGAGCCGGCACAGTGGCAGGAAGTTGACGTGGTTATATCAGCTGTCAAAGGGAGAGCTGGTAACTAACTGCTTCAAAAACAGATACACTTTGCAGGTAAGATCATCTTTTTATTTTGAAACATCTTAATTGTAAATGAAGGTAAGGCAGATTGTAGAAATCAGAATCAGATAACACACCAGCAGAATGAAGATGCCGGCTTCTGTAGAATAAATAGCACAGAATTTAAAGCTTGGGGTGAGCTGGATTCTACTTCTCTCTGGCTGGGGCGCAAGTTACTTTATGGCTCTGTTTTCTCGTCCGTCAGCTGAGCCCTGAAATACGTACTTGGGGAGTAGTGTGAGGGGTTCCTGGAATAACAGAGTCAGTGTTGGCACGGCTCCTACCTGACACACATACATCATGCACTCAGCTGGTACCGTGAAACACGCCCGCTGACAGGGACAGATGGCAGTGGTGCGTGAAATGTGACACTGTGAGGCAGTCCCATGTGGGACGTACGGGGTTCGTGTTCAGAGACTTTCCTGAGTATGGCGGGCACCCATGTGTCCATGAAGCGAGACTTGCCGAGGCTGGGAGCGAATCATGGCACCAAGACCCCTCTGGGAATCCTATCGCCCTGTCTTACTCGCTAAAGAAACTTTTGTTAAGCTCAATTACATTAACGTTAAAATTTTTAACTTAAATATTTAATTATGACCTCTTTATCTTTGACATAGCAGTTTCACAGGAACACCTCTCAGTGCCCACGATACCTGGTAGTAACAACTGAAGAGTAGCACTTCTGTTTCGTGAATTAGGAAACTGAGGCTCAGGTTAATTGAAGTGGCTTTCTGTGGATCATAGCTTATATGTAACAGAGCCAAAACTCTTTTCTGTTAAAAAAAAAAAGTAAAAGTTCTTTCTACATTAACTTTTGTTCAGGGTGAGACTTCACATGTAATTGCTTGTTTTGGTTTTTGGGTTTTTTTGAGAGGTTTTCACTATAGGGCGCGTGCGCTCGCCAGACAGACAGAGAGAGACATAGAGACAGAAAGCAAGAAATCACCCCCTAGGGAGGATGGCCATGCCGCAGTCCCTTCTCCTCCATTCTCCTCTCGGGATCTTGGACACGCACGCACACGCGCCCGGTGTGAGTTTTAAGCCACCGGGGTCCAGGACTCAAACCACAGTCGACTACATGGGAGTCCAGCGACATAACCATTAAGCTAACTGCTGGTCCCAATTGCTTGTTTTAATATCTGAGGAGGTTTCAATGGTGAGTTTGTAAAAACAGTTGCAATAGTCCATATTTAAGTATTAGGAAACTTCAGAATAAATTAATTTTATTCATTTAAACTTTCAGTAATTCTACTGACACGTAGTTAAAGCACATGATGTTCATACACTGGGTCCCGAGGTCTTTACCAGTACCAGCTTGAATACATATTATTTATACAATTAAAATTTTGCTTGATTTATCTTTCAATGTATGTGGAAGAGTCCATGTACGTATACTATAGAACCTGAAATTTCAGTGCCCTGTTGTTTTATTTAGAACTGTTTGCTTAATTTTATTTATTCATTTATCTATTTCAATTTGGCCAGAGAGAGAGAAAGAGAGAAAGTGAGAAAGCAAGCTACCAGGTCTGGGACTCAAACCGTGGTTGGTCATGTGGGAGTATCCAGCACCTTAACCACCATGTCGCCTGCTGGTCCCTCAGTGCCCTATTTTAGACGAGATGGAGGCCATGCTAAGGTAACCAAGAGCAGGCATGATATGGATATCAACATGATCTTTCACTGCCCTTGAATTTTTATATAAGACACACCAAAAAAGGTGGTTTTCTTTGATTCTTGGAAAGGTTTTATATATCAGCTTTATTGAGACCATTGGATATGATAAAAGGCACACATTTTAAGTGTACAGTTCTGAGTGAGGGCAGACATATACACTCATGTAACCACCACCAAGAGAAAAGATTTCTTGGACATTTGTTTTCTTTTTTGGTTTTGTTAACTGCCATTAGAAAGTGGTAAGAGTCACCCCCTTTTTTTTTTCTTGAGAGGTTTTTTCGCTATAGGGCACGTGTGCTCGCCAGATAGACAGAGAGAGACACAGAGACAGAAAGCAAGAAATCACACCCCAGGGGGGATAGTCACGCCGCAATCCCTTCTCCTCCATTCTCCTCTCGGGATCTTGGGCACCCACACACACGCGCCCAGTGTGAGTTTTAAGCCATCGGGTCCGGGACGCGAACCGTGGTCGACTATGTGGGAGTCCAGCGACATAGCTATCATGCTAACTGCTGGTTCTCAGAGTCATCCATTTTTATAGGCACCTACTCTCCATCCTCGGGACAGGCTTTCAAAAGCCTATTAGAATCTTGGTCCTGCTAGCCCCCACGGGATCAAGTTTCTGGCTGGCATTCTCCAATCTGCCAGCAGCACTGTCTGGGGGAGCTCGAGACAGGCAGGCAGGCAATGCCATTGTGTTTTTCTCTTCATTGACTGAAGTCTTACCTGGCAGGCATTGATGGTCCTGGTTCATCTTGCGGCTGTGGATGATGTAAGAGGAGAGCAGGAGCTCTTAGTGAGTGTGTATCCCCTGCCACGCTCAAGGACTTAAGAGTGTGTGCTACCGGGGCCAGCAGGTGTGTGCTCCTGGGGCCAGCAGGTTTTTGACTTGAACCACCATGGTTCAAGTCCCAGACTTGGCAGCTTGCTTTCTCACTTTGCTTCCCTCGCCCCCGTGTCTTCATTTGTCTCTTTCTGGTGAGCACACATGTCCTATTAAAGATTTTAAAATAATAATAATAAATAAAATTAATTCATTTTTTTAAAAAGTGTGTGTGTTATTTAATGCACAGTCTCTTGAAATATACCTTCCGGAGCCAGCAAGTGACATGGTGGTTAAGGCACTGGATTCCCACATGGCCAACTGCCCTGGACTCAGTGACTTGAGAATCACGCTGGGCACATGTGCGTGCCCAGAATCCCAATAGGAAAATGGAGAAGGAATTGCTGTGTGGGCATGCCCCCCAGGGAGTAATTTCTCACTTTCCCTCTCTCTGTCTCTCTATTGCTGTCTAGTGAGTGCACACACCCTGTAACAAAATCAAAAAAAGAGAAAAATGTATATACACACACACACCTTAGACCAATTGTGGTCTGCTTTAAACCGTTTCATACTTTGGGATCAGCAGATGGCGTAATGGCTACGTCACTGGACTCCCATGTAGTGGTTCAATGCCGGACCCTGTGGCTTAAACTCACGCTAGGTGCGTGCGCACCCAAGATCCTGAGAGGAGAATGGAAGAGAAGGGATTGTGGTGTGGCCATCCCCCCTGGGGGATAATTTCTTGCTTTCTGTCTCTCTGTTTTTCTGGCAAGCGCACACGCCCTATAGCAAAAACCTCTCAAAAAAAATATTACACACTTCATTTACTTTTTTCATGCTTTCATAGTAAAACACTTAGGATTAAAAAAATTATAATTCAGTAGGAAGGTTATTTTGTGTCAGGAATGTACTGAATGGCCATTTTCTTTAGCATGTATGCAAAGACAGATTTGAGCATTGGTGCGTACTGTGTGTGTATACTGAGTATGCGTACATGTGTTTATATAAGAGACTAGGTGCATATATAATGTATATTTACATAATCAATACATTTTATTAAGGAAATTCAAAGTCATTTTAATGTTTGAAAGATAAGAAATAATTATCAGGAAGTGTTTCATTGTAAAATTCTTCAAACATAGACCATATGTTTTTTAGAATTTTTTCCATGTATTTTAATTTTTCTTCTCTTTCTTTTACATGGGGGACCTCAAAGGCATCTACATTCCAGATGGCAATTCTACTTCAGTACAACACAGAAGATGCCTACACTGTACAGCAGCTGACTGACAGCACTCAAATTAAAATGGTATTCTTATCATTTCACTGTCTCTTTCTTACATCAAGTTGCCATTTTGTGGATATTGTGGGAAGATATGGGGTAAGAATCTGAGTGTCTTGGGTTTGATATAGATACTTGCCTCACAGATATGGGAATACATGTTAGGAAAAGCTGTTTTCCCACTGAATGTAATACTCGTGCACACACAGCACGCCACGCTCTTCTCTCACCCAACCAGCTCTTAATGCTTTTCAGCTAGGCGTTCCTTTACTAAGCTTAAATTTTTACATAATTTCAGTATTATTCTTCCTTTTAGTCGTGTCATTATTGAGATACATTTCAGATAACAAAATTTCACGTAATATTAAATTCAGTACTTCTAAAGTGTGTACAACTCAGTGGTTTTTAATATATTCACAGGCTTGTATAACCACCACCACCACCATCCAATTCCAGAACACTTCCACCCCAGAAGAAACCTGTACCCGTGGGCAGTTAACTGCCTTTTATCCCTGTCCCCAGCCCCCAACAACTATTCATCTACTTTCTGTTTCTATGGGCTGCCTACTCTTGATGTTTCAGATAAATGGCATCATATGAAATGCAGCTTTTTGTGTCTTTTTTCACGTAGTATAATGTTTTCAAGGTTTGTCCATGTACAGACTTCATTCCTCTGAGGTGAAATAATATTCCAGTATGTGGGTGCACTATGTTTGGGTTGTCCATTTATCAATTGATGCACATTGAGGTTGTTTCCACCTTTTGGTTGTTGTTGGATAATATTACTATGAACATATGTTTTCAGTTCTCTTGGGTATATCCCTAGGTGTGGGGATTGCCGAGTTGTGTGGTAACTCTGTTTAACTTTTTGAGGAACTGCCAGACTGATCCATAGTGGCTACCCCATTCCATATGCTCACCAACGGGGTGTGAGTTGCACTTTCTCCATAACATTACCACTTATTATCCATTTTTCTTACAACAGTCATTATACTAAAAATAGTTTCTTGTGATTTTGATTGGGTTTTCTCTAACAATGAATGACATTTTGAATCTTTTCATGTGCTTATTGGTCATTTGTATATCTTTGGAGAAATGTCTATTTGGATCCTTTGCCTATTTTTTTTTTAAAAGAGTTATTTTATTTAAGTTTATTTATTTAGTTAGTTATTTTTTACATTTGACCAGAGAGGGACAGAGAGAGAGAGAAAGAGGGAAAATGACAAAGCAAATCATAAGGTCTGGGACTCGAACCACAGTCAGCCATGTGGGAGTCCCTTAACCACTAGGCCACCTGCCAGCCCCACCTTTACCTATTATGGCATGAGTTTAAGCCATTTGGGTTTAGGACTTGAACCGTGGTCAACTACATGGGAGTACAGCGACATAGCCATTACGCTAACTGCTGGTCTCCAGGTGGATTATTTTTAAATATTTTCTCTCATTCCATTGGTTTTCTTACTTTCCTTTATTATACAAAATCTTTTTTAAAGGCTTTTGCCATAGGGCACATTCATCTTTTTCAATCTTATATCAGCTATTCTCGATCTCTTACACTGTCATACGAATTTTGGAATCAGTTGTGTATTTTTGCAAAAAGGGTAGTTGAGATATTTATAGAGATTGTATTAAACTGTCGATTGCCTAGAAGGGTATTACCATCTTAACAATGTTAAGTCTTCCAATCCTTGAATATGGGATGTCTTTCCATTTATTTAGATTGGCTCCAATTTCTCTCAACTTTGTTTCCTAGTTTTCCATGTACAAGACTTGCAGTTCTTTGGCTAAATTTATTCCTGAGTATTTCAGGGCTTTTTTGGGTTTGGTTTGGTTTTTCTGTAAGAGGGTACATTATGTACAGAAAAGAGGTAAGAGGAGACAGATGTACGTACACCCCTCAGTGGAGTGTGCCGGACGCCATAGGCCTTCTCCAGTTCTTCATCCACCCAGCACAGAGTGCTCAGGGCCAAAATTGTGACCCCTGTTGGCCATATAGGGATTTGGCTTCCTCTGCCTGGCACCAAACAGTTGCACCACAGAGCCGGCTCTAGTTTAGTATTTTTGATGCTATTGTAAATGGAATTATTTTCTGAATTTCATTTTTGGATTGCTCATTGCTAGTGTACAGAACTACAGGTGATTATTTGAATCTGATCTTGTGTCCTATAATATTGCTAAAGTCACGAATTAACTCTAAAGTTGGGGGGGGGTTCTTTTACAGAATCACATTATCTACAAATACAGATAATTCTGCTCATTTATTTATTTATTTTCCTATTTGGATGCATTTTCTTTTCTTTTTTTGCCTGATTCTTCTGGCTAGAACCTCTAGCATAGTGTTAAATAGAAGTAAGAACAGTCATTCTTGTCTTGTTATTGTTGGTGGTGATGATAGCTTCATTTTTTGCTGTTAAGTATGATGTTTACTGAGTCATTTTTTAGATGTCCTTTATCATATTAAAGTGATGTCCTTTTATTCTAGTGTGTAGAGTGTCTTTTTAATCATGAAAAGTTGTTAGATTTCTTAAAAATGCTTTTTCTGCTCCATGGAGAGGATTAAGTACTTTTTGTCTGTTAATATGGTGCATTACTTTGATTTTCTTAGGTTGATCTAACTTTGCATACCTGGGGTAATTTCCATGTGGTCATAGTACATAATGCCTTCGCTATGTGATGGGTTTGATTTGCTGGTATTTTCTTAAGGAGATTTGCATTCCTATTTATAAGAATAAGGTTTTGTTGTTAACTGTGACTTTTATCTGGTTAATACTGGCTTGATAGAATATAAGTTAATCATTTATTTTGTAATCATTCTTCAAGTTAGTTACTCTCAAGTACATCTTCAATTCTGACAGCAAGATGAGTCCACAACTTTGGACTAGGGGTCTTTTCTCATTCTTCCTTCCCCACATCAGAATGAGGAGACTAGAATTTCTTCCAAGGCTTAGGTTGCCTCCCATCCACAGGGAGGGCTCTACCCTGCCACCTGCCAGACTGGGCTCCCAGGTATCCCTGTTTGACCTTTGCTTGGCTTTCTAATCAAGACTGCCCTTGTCTTGACTGGTTTCTAGTATCAGACATCCCCTGTGGGGGGCCACAGCTGTTTTCTCCTCCCTGCCCCAAAAGATGTTACCTGGTCAGATTTGGCTAAGGAAGTGAACCGTGCCTAGTGTCCCTGCCCTGGATGCAGCTGACGTAGTTTACATCACTGCTTTGGGATTCTGGGTCAGTTACTAGACCAGAGGCCTATGGCTGGGAGAGCTTCACTGTGAGCCCCCGGCCCCAGGTGGGTACCCTTTAGGGCAGGGGCAGGAGCCTTCTGTCTGTGAAGCAAGTGTAAGTGCCCATTAGGCCAGTGGTGCTCTTGGACTTCAGGGAACCGTAAATCCCCTCGGAGAGGTGATTAGACACCCACTGTTTACAGGCAGGAGGCCACACAAATGCCATGTCAGCAAGGCTGCCCGTCACCCCGCCCCACCCCCGCCCATGGCGTGCATGAGCAGAGCAGTACCCCATGCTGCTGGCGCTCTTCAGGGCTGGTGTTCAGGACGGCTGCGAGGCATGTAAGAAGCGAATAGGTTCCTGTAGGTGTAATAGAAGAAACTGGTGGTGCGTGGTTCCTAATATTAAAAAGAACTATTTTATTTAATCATCATAACTGGGTGGTCAAGACCAAGAGATTGATTTTACCTTTAGAAGTTAGAGCAGGAGGGACTGTGGCCTTGGAGAGCTGCTAAGAAACACCGTCGTTTTCTCCTCCAGGCATATTTTTCTTTTGGGGGTGATTTTTTTTTTCTGTAGAAAAATAGAGAATGGGGCTGTCTATCTTTGCTATTGCAAAGAAAAATATGTTTTCCCTTTAAATTATTACCTTTTTCTCTGTAATTGCAGGACATTTTGGCCCAAGTCCTACAGATTTTATTGAAGTCGAAGTTATTGGTATGTCTGTGCACTTCTTCTGTGAAGTTTCTTCTAAAATGCCTTTTCTTGAGATTATATAGTAACAATTTTTTTTTACATAGGTCTTGGAAGATGAAAATGCAAATGTCGACGAGGTGGAATTGAAGCCAGACACCTTAATAAAACTGTATCTTGGTTATAAAAAGTAAGAGAAGTCAAAATCTAGATGGTCCTCAGCCAGAGGCCTGCACCCCTCTAGGACTTTTACCAGAATCAACACAGACAGGGGGTGGGGGGGGCTGCAAATTGGGCTTGAGGCTGACTGGGCAGCAGCCGGAGGTTATAGGCCTTGTTCCATTCCACAGGCCTTGATGTTTCTCCATCTGTCTCTGAGTTTGGGTTTTTTTGTTTTGTTTTGTTTTGAGGTTTTTTGTTTTTTTTTTTTTTTGCTATAGGGCGCGTGTTTTCGCCAGACAGAGAGAGACAGCGAGAAATCACCCTCCGGGGGGATGGCCACGCTGCAATCCCTTCTCCTCCATTCTCCTCTTGTTATCTTGGGCACACACACGCACAGGAGTTTTAAGTCACTGGGTCTGGGACGCAAACCGCAGTCGACTACATGGGAGTCCAGCGACATAGCCATTATGCTAACTGCTGGTCCCAAGTTTGGGGTTTTGACAGTTGAGGGGAGCAGAGTAGGGAGCAGAATGCCCCATAGTGCAGAGGGCACTGCTGGTGGCGGTGGGAGCCTGCCCAGCGGAGGCGTTCACTGGCGTTTGGTGGAGGGCGCTCTCCCAGTACGACAGAATCAGACCACGAAGGTAAACGCCATGCTCCACGTCCTACCTCTGTCCAGGAAGCCGAGCGCTTCCTACGGACGGAAACAGAAAGCACCTTCACTGCCTCCCTTTAAAGCACTAGTGATCAGTTTCCTCGATTTTCTCAACAGTAAGAAATTAAGGGTCAACATCAATGTGCCAATGAAAACGGAACAGAAGCAGGAACAGGAAACCACACACAAGAACATTGAGGAGGACCGCAAACTGCTGATCCAGGTGCGTCCCGCCCAGACCTGGGCCGTGCGTGTGCATACCCCAGAGGTGGCTCACGGGCAGCTGGGCGTGCAGGCCACGTCACATGCGATGTGACTGCTGATGAGTGGGTGCTGGAGGAAGTGTTCTGTGGTGGCAGAAGAGGACAGTGCCTAGAGCCAGGGTAGTGCTCCCTTAAGGGTCACCGGCAGAGGAGAGCCACCCTCTAGCTCTGAATGCAGGAAAGCAAATAAGAGGCAGAAGGAGAGGGAAGGAGAGCTGTCCGCTGGGGAGGACGGCAGCTCCATGGCTTTAAAGATTAAGTTTCTTCTCACTTGTTTTTTAGAGGTGTTTGCTATAGAGTGCATGCAAAGCAGAGAGAGACAGACAGAAAGTGAGAAATCACTCCCTGGGGGGATGGCCACGCCACAATCTCTTCTCCTCCTTTCTCCTCTGGGATCTTGAGCATGTACGCACATGCGCCCAACGTAAGTTTAAGCTACCAGGTCCTGGACTTGAACCATGGTTGACTACATGTGAGTCCAGCGACATAGCCATTATGCCAACTGCTGGGCCCTCTTCTCACCTTTTTAATGCTTTATAGTTAAATTGTAATATTAGAATTGTTCATAAGACCCCAAGATATTTTAATGTTGCTCATGTCAGAGTCGAAGCATACGCAGCCAGCCAGCTACCTGCCCCCTTGCTGCAGTGCACCTGGCACCTGTTACCTGACACCCGTTAGAAAGCCAGACTCCCGTGTGAATTCCCGGAGCTGGAACTTGGCACAGCCTTTGTGCGGGTGTCCTTAACTGCCCGTGCCCCATGTCTGCAGCTCTGAGCCCGTCTCCCTTGCTTGGTTGCACAGGCGGCCATCGTGAGGATCATGAAGATGAGGAAGGTTCTGAAACACCAGCAGCTGCTCGGCGAGGTCCTGACACAGCTGTCCTCCAGGTTCAAGCCTCGGGTCCCCGTGATCAAGGTGAGGACCGTCAGGCAGCCCCACCCTGCTGCACACCTGGGGTTGTTCATGTATCATTTCTACCAAAAAAGGCAGCCTAAAGTTTTTGTTGAAATACGCGTAACAGAAGTGCCCAAATGATAAGTTACACAGCTTGGTGATTTTCCCAAAGTACAGTCGACACCCAGACAAGAAGTTAAATGGGACCAGCCTCCCAGAAGCCCCCCCGAGGCATCCCTGCTGTTACCTGCCGGGACTGAGCTGCCATGGGAAACTGCGGTCACGACCGCAGAGCAGTTCTGCCTGCTTCGGAATGAAGGAGAAGCGGGCCACAGAAGGCGTACTCGGGAGAGGCTGCCCGCGGGGTGCGCTGCTGGGGGTCTGCCTCCACCGCCCCGTGGACGCAGCACAGCTCGTTGCTCAGCTCTGTTGACAGGCGCGGGGCTTCTTTCTAATTGGGTGGTTTAAAATAGTAACGCAGCAGGTCTTTTCCCAAACCACGCGGGTAAATGGCAGCTGGGTCCCGGGTGTAGCAGGAGCCCCGTGTAGCTCACAGGTGCAGGTTGTCTGTGGCCACCCACCCCCACATACTCTGCTTACCCTTCCAGTCCCCGCTAATAGCATCCTGCCCAGAGGCAGCCGGACTGGTGTAGAGGGAGATTCTGGTGCAGGTGGCTTCTCCAGCACCCGACCCGATCCCTGGGTGGTGCCGGGAGGACAGGGCTCCAGGGGTGGCTCTGAAGAGCCACCTTCAGCGAGTGGTAGAGAAAAGTGGAGGGTCTACTAGGAAGTGACCCCCACGGTAAGTGGGTAGACAGGGGTGGGGGTGAGTTTGCTCCCACTGAGCTCCCAGAAGTGGGGACCCAAGGAGAGGGTGGCCTGTCGATTTGTTCTTCAATGATGATTTTTTTCTTCCCTTTTCACTGCCTCTTCCTTTTAAAAAATAACCCTCAGAAATGCATCGACATTCTGATTGAGAAAGAGTATTTGGAGCGAGTTGATGGTGAAAAGGACACTTACAGTTACTTGGCTTAACCCTTCTAGAAGGGTCTGACTGTGACCCGCAGCAAATAGTTCATGATGAAAAGAATGGAAACGACTCGAGCTCATAGCAGCCAGCCTGCCGCCATTTGGACCTCCCTTTTTACCTCTGAGACCCAGACTCTCGCCCGCTGGTCTCAGGTTGACATCAGAACTGCTCAGGATTGACACATTTCAAGTCTGTAAATAGGACACCAACGCCATTTAGCCTACCCGGAGAACGGGAATGAACCTGTGCGAGGCTGCATGCTGCCGCATCTCAGTCACCACGCTGGCCGCCTGCTGGCGGCTGCCGGCCCGGGCAGCGCCTGCGAGGTCGCCAGCACTTGGAGAGCAAGTCCGAATGGAGCCACGTGTAATCTGCTATGAAAACCATTTGTATAGTGTGTTTCATTTTTTAATGTGTGAAAATAAAGAAAATTAAAGGATTTCTGTACAAGTCGCATTTGGTTTTGTTTTAAGCCTTACTAATTTCTGTATGTAAATAAAAGCGCGACGACTGCACATTTACACCCCAGTGTCTTCCTGTAGTCTAACAAGGCTGCATTCTTCGGATCGGACAGTTGGTAAGAGCTACAGCTTTAAGCCCCCGGCAAACTTTTTAAAAACATTTGTGCTTATTTCTGAGACCCTCTTCAATGACGCGAATGCAGCATGGACTCAGTAACTGCGGACGGATTCTGTTGGCACTCGCAAGGACTGAGTCAACCCACAGGTGGGACACCGAGGTCGGATGTGGAAACACCTCACTCGAGTGCAGGAGCTGGGACGTGAAGGTGGGCAGCCTGGTTCCAGGAGCCCGCTCTCCATCCACTGCCCTGAGTCTGCTAGGTCAGCCTGGAGTGACGTGATTGCAGTTGGAGACGCAGGGAGCCGGGGCCTCGTTCACTGCATGGCCCTGGTCAGAGCAAAGTCAAAGGAACCACCGTTTCACGCTCAAATGTTGCTGCTTCTGGTGAAGCGCCCAGACTGGAGCGTGGCAAGTCCTGTCCCAGAGGCAGCACTGGAGGAGAGCCAGACCTCACCGGCTCTTCAGGTTCCTGCTGGTAAATCGGACTGTCGTCTGGGCTGCCAGAAAAGTTGTTCAGGCCGGTGAGAATAGAGCGTTCACCCCAGTGTGTTCCAGGAAGAAGAGATTCCAGGCCGAGGGGCCTCGGACCCACACCTCTCCCAACACGGATCTAAGGGCTTCCTGGGAGCTGTCCCTGGAGACTGCTTGTGGGCTTGACTGCCCTCACCATAGCTTTAGTCTCAGCCTGAAGTCTGATGAACTGCCAGGCCGTCCCTCCTGAGCCCCTTCTGCAGTCGCTTGTGCCGCCGCGGGACTCCCCATCCAGGCCTGTTAGCTCCATGTTCCTCGGAGGAACTCTGCTACCTCACAGGTTATTAGGTGAAGACACCGACTGTCCTCAGCACACTGCCCCAGTCCTAGTCAGCGGGGTGGGCAGAAGTGGCTCCATACAGCCAGGGCAGTAAACAGGTTAGGTTAAAGAGAAACAGCAAGAGGTCACCAAGTTAAGGCGGTAGTTAAGGCACCGGGCTCCCTCCCACGTGACTGGCTGTGGTTCCAATCCCAGGTCCAGTTGCTTGAAACTCTGGCTTATGCATGTGTGCCCAAAATCCCAAGAGAACAATGGGTTGTGGCATGGCCATCCCTTTTGGGGGTGATTTCTTACCTTCTCTCTCTCTCTCTCACACATTCACA